TTTGTGGTTTAGATGACACGAGTACTACTCTCCGAATTTTCTTAGGCAGAGGCGGAGCCGATACAACCGAAATTTAATACAGCATGATCAACACGTCCTACTAGAGACGTGAATTTGACAGATTCCACCATCAGCTCCTCGTTCGTCAGCACTGAACCTCGTGTTGATGGTACATGACTTACTCCAAATGTGGGTGTTTCTGTTACGTGGTTGTACGATGGGTGCAAGTCAATGAACCGCCACTCACATGGCTGGCGGGAAGTCTTCGTTCTGATAACATTGAGACAGCTACAATCACTCATCATGAGGGCATGGGTTAACTTTAATAATAGGACGTTCCTCACGGTTTGCAACAGAATCTCATTAGCCGAGTCTGAAGATGAAGGAGGCCGGTACACGAAACCGATAAGAAACATATTGTTTTTGGAGTCTTAACGAACTCGGAGGCGGCATCGGAAACATCAAATTTCCCACATTATTTCCATGATAAACTGGCACTCTACCACCTCTGGTGGGACGATCACTTCTGGGCAGCGGCATCCCGGATAGGCCCGGTTCCGAGTCGAGAATGTCGGTGATCAGTTAGGTTTCAGTAACAGCAACAATATCGCACTGATTATTTTTTTCCAAAAAAGCTCTATTTCCGAGAATTTGCTAAGGTGAACAGATGCAATGATATAAAAACTAAGATATTTTGGTACAGAATTCTATCTAGGTATGTGGTGTTGTTTCCGCCGACCAATTCGCGATTGGCTGACAGCGTTTTGGTAGAATTGGTTTCATTTTTGTTGCTCGATGAATGTGGAGTGATAAAAATCGCATTAGTCGCGGAAGGCGGCGTGTAAATATCAGTTTCCGTAATCGGACTTTGCTGAGATTCAGTATTATGTGGTGGTCTTAGGAGCGAAGCTGACAAACTGCGCTTTCTGTTCACCTTCCACGACTGTAATACAGGGTTGGCGATTTATGGCTTCCCGGGGATTGCCTTCACTATCCTCGTGCCGTGTTCGTGGTAATTTATTGAGCTTGTTAAACGGCTAATTGACGTGGTAAGAACCTGGAAACAATTAATTAGCTCAATAATGAAACCCCATTCTTTGCAATCGTTTTTTTTGACATAGGGGCTCCTCTGGATCGTTTAGTTGAGGGACTCCATAAGTTAGAACACCCCTTTTATTCTCCGATTGTCGTGCATTTGTTGGGTTGGTGCTATATGGCGTACGCTCCATCCAGGGTTTATCTCGAAGTAATCGTGATCTACCTGAACCTTTCTTGAGAAGGTAACTAAAGAATAACTTGTTCTAGATCCTTTTCGTTTGCAAATGTTACGCGAGTCAGTGGTGACTCCCCAGCATGGGGTGACAATGGATGGTAAAATAGACGCATCATTCCAGTCGAGTGAATTTCAATACCCATTTGGGTAAATTCAGACTAGCGATCAAGCTCTTCTTGTTTCTTTCTCAGTTTTTTGGTTTCGGGCTCTGATACGTTGGTGCAAACAATTGTTAAGGTAGAGCTGTAAATTGCTTTACATTTGGCACTGGATTTTCCTCCTGTAAAACGGATGCTTTCGGCTATGTCGTCCAGTTCGTGACTGAGTATTGGCGGCGCTGCAGTGGGGCTTTCTAGAGAACAGCGAGGTCTTTTTATGGATCTGTGAATTGGACTGTGTAGGTTGAGCTCTCAAAGCCGTTATCTCTTCTTCCATTAAAGCGATTTTTTCTTCTGTTTTTCTTTGCTACCGATAATAGTTTTTCAAACGTTTCTATCACGCGCTTCACTATCGGAGTTTCTGAGCAATCACTACAAAAACCACAAACGGTATGGCTGGGTCATGATCTGACTTACTCTTTTGGTCGAGATTTTTGCACATGACGCATGAACGTACTACTTTAGTTAACCATTGCAGGCAGTGCGCTACTGGACGTCCTTTCCGCATATCATCGAACCACATGCTCCGGATCTATGTGGTGCACTTGGTGTGCCACTCCTAGACACATTGCGACGGACCATTTTGACCCAACACGAACAGGGAGACAATAGATAAATGACAAAGGTCTAACTATGATCGACTGCGTAGATAACCCGGTTGGAGTAAACTGGTGCGTATCGATGGTTGCTGCAGGTGATAGAGAAACAGACACGTGTGTGCGAGAATAACAATGACACGGAATTATGTAAATCTTTGTGGTGACCGAAAAAGAGTATTGGACACCTGTTTAGGACTCATCATCATCAGTAGTACCTGGTGCCTCTGACAAAAACAAACAAATGAGATTATCCAAACATTCACTCTCTAGACACGGAATTATATTCCAAAAATCGATCCGCATATTTCTGGCAAATGTTCACAGATATCGAATTAGCAACTCTTTGAATAGAGTGTGAATTTACCTTCACAATGGTATCACAATATTGGTGGTATGATGAAAAACAAACGCTTTTGCCAGCGTGAATATTTCTATTAATTCGTTTGAAATCAAAGATATGGTCAAATAGCATGAATCCAAGAGAGGTCTATCAGAAGACAAGGCGGATGAAACAGTGTAAAAAGAGCTGAAACTTAATGTTATGAGAATCGTTTTGTTGGAGAAAGTGCACAAAAACCGAGAGCACACCAGTAGACCGTCTAAGCACGGATGTGTACACATCATTTATTTTAAAATGGTTTTATATGGAGATTACGGTTGGAAGTGATGAGTTCTCTAGTCCGCATGCAGTTTACGATAATGTTCTCTGGAAACGAATGAACTCCTCGGTCTGAGTGACCAACATTGTTGCAAGTGAGGGTTGATTGATGTTCTTTTCAAACGGTAACATTTTCCTTCGACGTGTTTCTGAATGGCGATGTTTCACTGAACGCTAATTATCATCAATCTATTGAAGTTGCAGGCATATTTTTGGATAACTATTACAGAGCACACCCTTCTGGATGAATCAATTAGTTAATTTATAGTCTACCGAGTGTCCAGATAAAACAATGTTTGGTAGGCAGAAAAAGTTACTTTGTAACTATCTCTTTTCACTTATGTAGGGGAGTAATCAATCAACATCGGTCGATTAGCTTTGGTATAGATCGTACTGAAATCTGTGCAAAGAAGTCCAACATATGGCAAAATACCAAGGGACTGATCAACTTGAGTGAATCAAATACAACGAACACGCACCAGTCAGATGTGCGTTCACATTTTTGACATAAACAACGATCGCATTCAATTGTATCGCCATTGGTAAATGTGCGAGATATCGATCGCCATATAATCAAAAACGACTGCGCCGACTCTCTACCCAGGAACAATCACAAGTCGTGCGTGTATGATTCGTCCAATGACTCGGACTGTAGCGGCAGATTTGTGTGCTCCGTCATAGATTCATCTTGAGGACGCTCAAAATTATTTTGGTTAGTTTTGACAATAGCCTAAATTCATTTGACAACTACAGTAAATGACACATACTTAGAGTTACACCCCGAACTATGTTACGAAACTTTCCCGAAATACGGGGGACGATCAGGGTAGTCAAAGAAAGGTTTGAAGATTAATGGACTCGTGTCATAAGATTTACTGTAAAACGAAAAATCGCCACATGCTATGGGGGAAGAGAATTCACAATTTGTTTGTGATTTTTCAGGAAAAAAGAACATTTCTCGATAACCACATTTTCTCTAGAATCTAAACTCATGTTCATACTGGCATTCAGTAACAACGTCCTGTGTCCTTTGTTTTACGTGTGGCGAACCATCCACTCTGAGTTAGTGAGTATACAAACAGTATGAAGTTAGGACACGTGTACACATGCGTCAATCAACACCTAGTTTCGCCTTCATGCAAATATACACCAGTTGGTACCAGTGCACTGTTTATACCACATTGCACGAATGAACGACAGTCACGATTGCAATTCTTCCGGTTCGTCTGGGCTGCTTTTTTCAATCATTCAGACGATAGCTACGATCCATAGTTAGTCAAGGTTCTTCGAGTCAATAAGTACAGTAGTGAAACTCGCTTTCTCGAAAGGTTTAACGCCAACTAAACCTGAAGCTTCGGTGATATGGTATCTTTCAATGTACACATTTTAAACTTCGATTCACAACTATACGTAATTACGGTGCTGTATAGTTATTCAAAGTAATCATGAATTCATTTTCACATACACCGCTTACATCATTAAATGTAGCACACATCCGAATGCCCCCGATTCAAGTTTCACTACTGGTGTGTATCGACTTGTCCAGCCAGGGTTTCAACCCCTGGACATACTGGCGAACTGTAGCGCGATCGAAACACGAGTCTGACGCTGGCCGAATATATATTTGACCGGATAAACTGGATAGTATTTCGTTGTATAGAGAGAAAAATGAACGTGCATCAAAAAGCCGAGTCACTGTGCGCCCTACTCTCTGAATCTCATCAGCAGTGCGAACTAATCAACCTGACTGGGGATCGAACCTGAGACTACAATAGTAGAACTGAGTATCATGCTTGAAGGATTGTCAAACTGGGTTAGGATACATGTCTAACAGGCAAAAAGTGGGGTATCAACCGAGATTCAAATCCATCTGTCTAAATGAAATCGCTGGGAAGATGAACAAGTGATTACATCTGATGTGCTCTGGTGATCGAAGCACGTCGTTGAGAGAAAGGACAGCTATGGAAAACGACATTTAGCCAATGACTGGTCAAAAACAAGTTATGTGACAGGGATTCATTCAATTTGATTAGAAATAGAACTTCGCGGATCTTTATACATGATACAGTGCCGCACCGGGCAAAGTGGGGACGAAAAGAAAAAAATAGCAGGGTTCGTACAGGTTGAGAGATTTACGACAAGACCACAGTTAAATGAAGTATTCACATTCCATGAGCATATAAATTCCTCTGTACAGTATTTGACAACGAACGTCGAACAGAGAAGGGTTGAATCAATACGTTTTGAAGGCGTGGTAGAATGTCGCCGTTCAACATTGATACACAATGACAGTAAGCTTGGAGAAGCATGTGTCAACGCATTTCCGAATACAGACCGACCTTCTCGTAGACCCGTTTGCACCCAGAAACCGAAAACATACGGGCACCCTCTGGTGCCCATTCTAATTCTTGCAGCACAAACTGGACCAAATCATCAGTGTACGGGATAGCTCGCTGTCGCGTCACATCCAGTATACATTTTTTCACGTGTTCCTCTTGTAACGGTAAGAACGGAATCATTGCCGTGATTAAGTGTTTTTGAATTAGCTCAGAATAACGCAGACCACCTGAAAAAGTGAGGAAACATGAATGTAGACTATGATCCACGGACGTATTACAACGAGAACATTTCTGTGATGACGACACAAGCATGCTCTGCATGCGTCGGGGATACTTATCGAATGGCAGTTACAGGAAACAATAATAAAAACACGATGATGAACACTACAAAGATTTTTCTTTAAGATATTGTTATGTGAAATGCCGGGTTGAATGAAGGTTGACCTGGCGCAACACATTTCATTCTAATGATTGGCGTCCATTTCGAGTACGAAACAAAAAAACTGTGATTTGGATTCGGGTCAAATCTATCCTGACAGGTTTCACTGGGGATTGCTGCCCAAAATTACATGGAGAACATTACCTTCAGTGGAGTAATTCAATCGGAGTTAGCAGATATTACACTGCTTCTCCTATCGTTGCTGTTGGGTCAAATAAACTATCTGACTGCCGTTCAACATACCATCTGAACAAACGAGAATTGATAAGTCAGGTCAGCTTAGAAGTAAGCTGGTTTGTATAGTGCTGGGCATAAATGATAGTCGACTTTGTAATATCAGGTGACGACATTACACGTATAGAAGTTTTTACTAATGACACTGGTCATGTTTAGGAATACACACGGTGGAAAGCACTGTGGACCATTTATCACGTTAATTGCTAAAGAGCCAAGAGAATCACATTTCCACCAAACGGAAGATGTTTACTAAGTAAAAAGCAAATTTGTACAACCCGAAGCTGAAGCAGGTTGATCGCGGTTTGCTTTTGACCGAAATGTTCAGCTCAGTATAACTTTGTAGAACCATTAACCATGGACTTTCGCGCAGCACGCCTTCCAGGTTGGGGCCCAAAGGATGAGAATTTTCACTGGTTAGAAACGCTGAGAGGTATGGCTCAGAATAGAAATTAGTAGCGCGAATGTTACACGGTCTGCGTGTCCAAATCACGTGCCCCGTAAAAACAACACAAAAAATATCAAAAAGTGTACAGTGAAACAAAAATTTTCTTTGCCCAGTCATCTTCCACTTTCTCGTGTCCTTTTTCCACTCTGTTCTGTACCCCAATCCACCTATCCCCTATTACTGTTGTACCGTTGGTACCATGCTTGTCTACAAGCCGGTGGTATATATATATATATATATAGTCAATTTCCGGCTACGTTGCACCCCTCGGGAATTCCAAAAAGTGGGTAAATTTCAGGAACTGCGACATGGCATGTTAATCAGTAGTAGATGTTATTAAGCAGTGTGAAAAATCGGCGGGGAGTTTTGTGACAAATTAAACCGAATCGTTGAAAAGTACGTTAGTTCCGTTACTTATTTACTTGTTCCTAATGTTCATAATTATGTACCGCTTATTTATAAACGAATTTAGATATACCATACTGCGTATCCTTTATGCACCGAAGAAATTACCTTCAGCTTAATATTAATACATTGCATTTCGCCCTTTTTCATGTTTCTTCGGGAGGGTTTCTTCTAATCGAATTAGGGCATATTAATTCCAGATATTTCTCCATTCCTTCATAATGTAAGGCTAAACACAGAATAGAGTGTATGGTGTCCACTATAATATGCAACTGTTTCAGGTATAATAATCACAGTATCAATATTAACCCATTCAACGAAAACAAGAATGAACCAGATCGAACACAGTGAGAACACGGGACAAAAAATCGCACTGGAAGGAAATCACGTCATCTAAAATAAGCGACATGTTCCCTACGGAGTATATTCGGTTCACTAACTTCTTTCTCATATTCCAAACTGATTGCTCGCTGTGTAATCTACTCATAATTTGCTGGCGAAAAATGTGTGAAAAATAACATAAATGGATGTCTTTTTACTTCTATTTTTATTTTTTGAATGTACAAATATACAATCAACTTTCAGGAACGGGGCTGCGGCCATAAAAAGGCTGCCCGGGGAAATACCGAAATAGGGAAGACAGGCGGTTCAAAGCTGGGACGTCCAGGTCACAGTTCGGTGACCTTACCACTTGGCCACCACCGCCGTGTATATAGCTATATTATATAGTTATATTCTTTGTTTCGCTCTTTTGTCTCCAGTGTATGTTCAAAACCGATTGGTACATTCGTTATGTTCAAATAGTTGTTTGGCAGATTTGAAGTTTGTATGTCGATTGTGAAAAGTTCAGTAGCCTCGGTGGGATTCGAACCCACGCATGGACACCGCCTACGCTTTGTACGCTCATGCTCTACCAGCTGAGCAACGAGGCCACACCGATAGCACTGATTTTGCCACGCCTCTGTAAGTTGGATGGGCAAATTCGAATGTGAAAAAGATCAGTGCTATCGGTGTGGTCTCGTAGCTCAGCTGGTAGAACATTCGTTATGGTCAATATTGGCCAACATGAGTGACGAATTAAGCTCGTGAGTCACAAGTTAAAAGTGCATCGCTCAAACAGTCAGGAGCGTGTCAGACCCGGGTTACGATGACCTTTGGCCAATGACCTGTCTAATTTCATCGGTGCTCTAGTAAGAACATGTGCGATCATCGTTCATTCACACGGCGTTTATCGATCACTTAGACCTGACATCTTAGTCGACACGCCCGCTTACCAGACCATCGCGATTATAGTTCACCCGTTTACACGTTAGAGCGACAGAACCCATCGATAGAGCGAAAGGCTGTGGCATTAGTGGCTACTGCAACAAAAATGACCATATTCGAGTGCTACACAGGACCGTAGAAAATATTTTTTTGCATATTAGAAAGATTTATTTTTAACAATCATAAATCGTCGTTTATCTCAGCCCGGTACTCTGCAAATCAATAAGTGCGCCGCTAAATCAATTGTACATTCTCTAATTGGGATAACTTCCGGCGCATATATTGCTTCACATTCTTTTTCTTTGCAACGCCTAACTTGATTCGAAATGAGTTTAGGTTTCTTATTCAGTCATTCGATATGACTGAAAAAGAGACTTAATGCAAAAATTTCAACTAACCCAATTCTCCATCATCACACATCAAACAGGGGATTTCTTCTTCAAAAAGACGCTCATCAATAGACACATAGTGAGTAAAGTCTACAATCAGATCGCATTTATCCTCTGGTGTCTGCATCATTGGCTGATTCAACGTGGGTTTCAACCCAGTATTTACGAAAGCGTTGATCAGTAAGCGCGGATGCACAAATATCCAAGCTTTCTTAATCAGATGCATGCCCATGAGGTTGTTCACTCCGGATTTCATGCTAGGTTGCTCATCTTCGATCAAAGACAAACATATTCCAATAAATGTTTGCGAAACGAACGTTTGAAAGACCAAATCAGACCGTAATCCACTGGTTGTAACATTGAAGAACAGTTCGGAAGCAGTCGTACTAATTTGAATACTGCGGCTTTGCTGCTACGTATACGTAGTAAGATAGAGCGTCTTTGTAAATTCATCTTGCGGTTGACATGGGACAGCCTACTGTGAGATAACGCAGGAGTCACCCATGGGTTCTTTGAAGAATTCTCACTGCAGAGAGGGCTTTTTCTATCTATACCTCAAGGAAATCGGGGAGCTTGATATTCTACAATAACCAACGGTGGTAACTTTTCTCCAATCATGCTCCCAGAACGCACTACCGTGACTCTTTCTTTGGATTTCTTGGATCCAGAAAGTGTTTTCCTTTGAGACGTGATGTTCTTTCTGGCAGCTACCTGTAGAACAAAACTGTTTCATCTATATTGAAAATATCAGCCAGCGTATCCATAGGTCGACTGCAGTAATCTCACCCCTAACTAATCCACTGCATCATGTGGTACCGACAAACTTTCCCCACGAACCTACAACGTAATGCATATGAGTTGCTTGTCTCCTACTTTGTAGGATTGAATACCACATCTGTCTGACCAGGAGAAAAACNCTTGAAGTCACGATGATGCATTCATTGTGCCAGCTGGAGTACCTTCTTACAAATGACGCTCTACGCTATGGGAGCGCTGTGCTTTTCCCCCATAGCAGTAAACCAAGCCAAGGTTGCCTCATTCACTGTCTAGAACCTTTTATTTTTTTCAGATGACATCTTTCCTGAGATGCTCCAGTGTTCACAAAGAATCCGGCAGTGGTTCCATGGCATATAGCACTCAAAACAGTTTTTCCT